ATGTAATCTCTCAATCATCTTGTTAAAGCCTTTCACTACCCACTGATGCCGCATAACAATGTAAAGCTAAATAAATTTGCTTAATCTGGCACGTTAATAATTCATCTATATTAAGAGACGCCAGAAATATGGTCACTCAAAATTGACCTTGATTGGACATAATTTTCTGTCAGTTCATCCCAATGTCACAGAGAATTACAAACATGGGATCTGAATTGGGGGCCAAGTCGCTTTTCTTTAGCTGCTGTTTCATTGGACTTCACATACCTGCAGGATTCATATCGGGGCTTTTCACTGGTGACCACTCCAACGTCGATATGATTTGGTTTTCCGAGAATTGTCTAGTGGCATTGGCCCAATGAGAAAGTGCTTTGCTATACATGAAGACGTCTACTTGAATGACAACATGACGAATATAATGGTAAGGCATGACGTTCCAGCACTTGCACGATGTAGTCCTCTTTATCAAGCCATCCGGTGATTCTCACGAGGGCAGTTTTGTTCATTCCACCCCAGACCACCCAAAACCATAGCAGTTTCGTATCCTCTGTTCCACACTGACAGATGATGGTGTCCAATTTCTAACTAACACAGTCCATGAGTAAAAAATGGTTTCGTATTCTACACGAAACCAATATCCCCTATTAGCAAGAACTAAGTTTAACTAATGGGCACATATGTCCAGGTTTTGCGTGATATTTCGTTTTTTTTTTGGCTTAATGCCTTCTCCCAGCCCTTCTTCACATTATTTCAAAAGCACTAGGTTTAGTTAGTAAGAGAAATTATGAAAAAAACTTTCTAAAAAAACCTCGTATGTTTGTCCCCAAGATATTCTGGAGTGATGAAACCTCGCAACCCTCACCTAGTGCGCCGATACTGCCTTTTCGTGGTTTCATCACTCCCGTTTGAGAAAGTGATGTGCTAATACGAGGTTCTGGATAAGCCTTCTTTATGAATCTGCTGAATTGAAGCACTCATAACAGACATTGTCTGGTGCATTTTATGTATCTGACTGAATAAAGAAATATTACATTCCTTCATTCATCCATTCATTCATTCATTCATTCTTTTATTCATTCACTTTATTTCAGTCAGTTCAGAAATTCAAATATGGTCATAAGTGAAGGACTGACATTATGTAAATCTATTTGAAATCCATTCTTAGGGATGATTAAAGCGTTGGTAAACAAGATGTTTTCATCAAGCACAAACGTAGTTAATACTTAGTTTAAGGCGACAGTCACACCTTGAAATGACAGATGACGGTAGTCTTTACTAAAAACTAGATGACAGATCTGTGCACTCTCCATATGTCGACAGGCCATTCTGTTTATCAAAGAGAGGGTAAGGTTTCACATCATCTCAGATTATGAATCCGCTGTGTAGTCGAATTCTCGAGTTGCGTTTGAGACCAAATAGCACTGAACTAAGCCATGTTCTTGATGGCCCTGAAGTCTTTTGAGGATATTGTGACAAATCAACAAATTCCTGCCTCAACAACACAAGTAATACGGACATTTCCGTATCTGTTTTGAATATCTCCTTCCATCTGTGCTCATCACCTAGATCTCTATATCATACAAGGGCTGGTTTGGAAACCACTGACCAGACCATGTTCCATGAATTGGCCGCTTTTAAGCACAAGGGGCTGTCCCGAAAAATGCCGTTTTGAGAAAATCGAAGGTAAAGTTTTTGGATCCTTATTCAGTTTCTTTAAAAGACAAGGAGAGTTGTTTTTGTCTATAACCAAACAAATATGCACACCAATGAAATGAAACCAAACTTCTCCTATAAGTAGGGCAATTACCACTTTGGAGTAGGTCAAGATTTCTGGAAACTCCGAAATCTGGGTTAGCTCGCTTGTCCTTAAAAGCGACCAATTGACCCGAGGCACCATGTTGCAGTTCTTTCCAGGGCTGTCCCTGATATGTGGAGACAAGGAAGTATCTGAATCATCCTCGACTGGGTTTGCACCATAGAGTAACATCTTTTTAAATCTATAGTGTACATCTATGGTCTGCACCAACACCAGTGTCACCTGGAATCACGCCCCACACCATACTGACGTTTCACCAGGCAGCTGTAAGTCAGATGCCGAATTATTAACTTCGAGATCACCACAACACGATCTGTAGACCATATTCAGGCACCTTAGCCACTTTTCCTGGAGCCTGATCACGAGACACAGCTCATTTGTGATGACAGCATAAATGATGCTCAACTGAGGAAAAGAAGGAGTTTTCAGGAGTGGCAACAAATAAGCGAAAAGCTATCCGTGGATCTGGACAAGATCGGAATACATAATGGTTCAATGAAAAGCCCAACTAAGTTATTAAAACCAAACTGTGATTGCAAGAGCTGAACTCTGAAATGTAAAGAGTTTCTAATTTTGAATTTAGTGTGGTCCCTCTCATGGGATGATTAGTGGACTAAGACCAACCCCAGAGGAGATATTCAGAGACTAACCAGAGAGGGAATACCTTCAATACACCCTTTAAAAAGGTGGCCATATGGAGTCAGTGAGTTAAAAGATTTTCCCTGAATTGAACTGGGATGGGTGAATGATTTGAAAGAAACATTTAGAACCAATTATTATCAAAGCAACTCAGATATCTACAAAATATATGCACAATTCTGAGGAGACCACGTGAGGCGGCCTCTCAACAGACCCGCCCTCGATGAGGCATTCAGGCAGTATGACCTGTCGTTGTTCATGCCAAAGAAAGATATGTGCGACCTTTGCACCGGTCGTGAAGTTGACAATGTGCTGGAGGATGTCTGGAAAGCTCATATCCTAGAAAAGGAGGCAGCGCGCAAAGAAAAGAAACGAGACAAATCTGAAGCTATTAAATGTCTCGCTAGCAATGAAACTAAAAGGGCCGTACTATCAATGGATCTTCAAAATCAGCCTTATATTACAAGCAAAGCTTTAGGCTATTGGATGCTGCAACACGCCAGACTACTTGTTACGTGTGTCATGAAGCAGAAGGGGGACTTATGGCAAATGAGTTCGCTTCATGTCTATTGGATTTCCTGAAGGAAAAGCTGGACTTTCAGAAAACCGTCATCGACAGCGACGACTGTGGTTACCAATACATAAATGCCACTCTAGCCAAAGTTTCTGTCAGCCTGTTTGCAACAACACATTGTAGCACTATTGAACAATATTTGATCAAGGAACACACACAAATGGAAGGTAACGGTGTGCACTCAACTATTGAGAGATCACTTCGAAAAGCACCCATCAAGGTCCTTCGAGACTACCTTCATTTCTTCAGGATGGCAAGAGCAAAACAAGAAACTTTTCAAAACAAATATTTGGATCACACATTCTTCAAGGAATATTTTAAGTGTGGAAGCTACAACAAGTCTTTCAGACCAGGTAGAAAGAAACGGGTGATGCTGTTGTCAAGAGTGTTTGAAGTAAACCCCAGACATGAACATTCAGTTCAAGCTGCACCTCAGTGATGAATGGTCTGACGTACCGAAGGCAGGGTACAGAAACATGAGGTCCATCCTACCACCCCATCTACACAGAACGTTTTAAGTTCCAACACTTCAAGTACAATCACCTACAGGAGCTTAAATCTGTTATTGTCAGTATGGTTCGTCACTTTATGACAATTTACACCTTTAACATTTATGGCTGTTCATTATGATTCATCATCTCTTATGACAACCCTCTGTGGTGCAAACAGAGACCATATTGCAGCAATTTATTATTCATTTGTGCTTTTGAGTAAAATGGAAGTAACCAGATCTAATCTTCTCAAATTATGGTGAAACAAATTGCACTAATCGCAATCCTTTTGAGGATTCAAACACAAATTTTGCAGGTAAAACACATTAATTTGACTTCAGTTGGCCGGGAATCGAACTCCAAACTAATTGCTCTTGAAGAAATATCTTATTGAGTTTGTGGCGTTTCAGTCAACAGACGCATACTGCAAACAAATGAGCAGCAAGAAAACTCGCAACCCTCAAAGTCTGTCCTGATGAAACCTCGCAACCCTCTCGCCGGCTGACTACGAGGTTTCATCACGACAAAAATGTTGTAATGAAACCTCGCATCCCACAGCGTAACCACATAAACTAGAGAAAAGTTATTTTTATACACTAACCACGTTTTTAATGTGTTTTTTATTTATCTGTATCAGCTTTGGTTCATATAGATAATTTTTTTCAAGAGTAAATCAGTTTTTTGTCTCTCCTGTAAAATTTTCCTTTCATCACTCCACCAGCGACATGTCCATTTCACCAATGTTGACCACCAATGTCGATGCACCCCAATACGCGTGCGAACACGATTTTACGTTTCTTTGAATTCGCACAATTTTGCCAAGCCTAATTATTTAAGGTTAGTTTGGAGTGACTATATCTCGGACCTCTCTTAAAATACATGAATTATTTATCTGTGAGGTGACGCAAAATTTATTTACCTTTAAATTGGTATGCTGCATGAGTGAGTAGTACAAGGCTATAACACGGTGATTCGGTGTTTACATTTCAAGTTTCTTTTGGACGCCTCTGTATATGGAAGAATAATAACAAAATACACATTATTGTAATTTTTGACACAAAATGACTTGCTTACGACAAACCCTGGTTTCAGCAAGGTTATTTCTTGCAAGAACTGAAAAGTCAAATATGCCCATCTCTGACCATTATTTTTCCTAGATTGATGAATTACAGATATGGAAGACTACATTAATTGATCTATTTAGGTCTTCCCAAATAATATGGATCTATTATACGAATCTGTGTATCCATTTACGTGTGTAATATAAAAGTCTGGAAACTATTAGTTGACGTCGTTTTTTTCTTGTTAATCTTTCGTGAATTTGTTGTGTTAAAAATTCACCACAAGACATTCTTCGTTACAAATAACCAAGAGCTGCCTAATTATAGTAAGGAATATGTACCCAGCTGACGAAATTTTATACGCTGCAGTCCTTTTCATTTTACCCATTCCTAATCAAAGGGAATTTCCCATGCACCTGTCCTGAAAGCAAGTGACACCGAATTCAACTCATCATGAACGGAATAATGGATTACCAAACACAACCATTCAATGAACCCTTCAAAGAGTTTTAGAGATCTTTAGACCAAAGAGCGTCCAAAAATCGAAGTAATCGGCTTTCAAGATAAACAATTGAAATAAAAACGGTAACCAATCTAGTTAAACATACATCGTGTCCTTTACCGCCATTACCTTCTTCTGTCGACTCTTTAGAATATCGGAAGGAGAGGGTGGTGGGGGTGCAAAAACAATAAAATGCCAACAAAAGGGGAGTGCAGGGGATCTCTCCCCGCTAAAGCCACAAACATAATATTTTTGCAAAATACTGAACCAAACTATTTTTGGTATACCCGCTCAAAATATCCCCTCTTTCGCGTGTTGGTCTGCCGGCCCTCTGCGTAACTCCTTCCAATGAATTAGGGTAATAATGTAGATCTAGATCTAGATTCTAGATGTTTTTTGGCCCCCATCAACACAATTCGGATCAATTAGGTTAAAATGCAAGCTTCAGACCCTGCCTGTCAGGGCCAACCCGGGTTGAGAGGGATACCACATCCCAACAGAAAGGGAGACCGAAATACTCGCAAAAAAATTAATCTCAATCTGAACCGAAGTCTAGTTTCCTGCGAAACACTTACTTGCTACACCCCAAGCGCCAGTTTATATTTCTTATAGAAAATATGTGTTTTTCTTTTTAAAAGAGTGCAAGTTCGCTGGACGCCTTAAGACGGCTCTGTTGTCTAGACTGTCTGTCTCGCTTTCAATGCATAAGCCTACTACCACACAACGACAAAACACTTGACCCTCTGTTTTGATCGATGAGTCGTTGGAAACGAAAATAAGGGAAGCACCACTATATTACGGTGCCTCGTTGGTGCGGCAGGCTGCTCTTATTTTCTTTGCCCACAGCTCACCGACAAAACGATTAGCCAATTATTTTGTCGTAGTGCCGCACTGGGCCATGGACTTGGTTTGCAATATCATTCAAGACCGCGCATTCTCATAGCTATCTGTCGCGGCTCTCTATACTATAAATGAAGGCTATCATAGTTAAGTGAGCGGGGGCTCCCTCCAACCCTTCTTTTTGCCCTTTATTTGGATCCAAATGGAGTCAGGTGGTGCCCTTAGTAATGAACCGGAAATACGTCAGTGGCACGTCTAGAATATTATAAGTTTTTGTATTGATCATGCCCCTAAAGCCCAAAATAGATGTAGGTTTGCCTTCAAGATGACCCATTTGTGTCGAGTAGAACAAACCATTTATTCGCCCCCCACCCCCCGACCCCAACCCTTCCTTATATCCCCCCAACAGTTGCTATTTGTGTGCTGTTTTTAGGCAAGGGCTGTTGTAACAAATAAGCGCTCCAAAAGTATCTCTGAGGGTACTGGAACTGATACTATATATCTGTTAAATGATTAGACAATTTATACTTTTTTCGTTTCTCTTGAAATGGAAACTTCTAAGCAAAAGTCTCTAGCAATAAATTGATAATTTTCTGAAATGTGTCAGTTGTTAAACCGTTACTAAAAATGAACAACCTAGAATTTCTTCCACAGTTGAACCGGACTAATTATGCTTTGGCTTTCAGGTACACACAACATGTTGAGACCAGAGCGTTATTAACATCGGCAACATCTTCAGCGTCCTGAAATAGCTGTTGAACCACAGTCAGCTCTTACAGAAAGCCGTTCAAGGGAACTGAAGCTCATTGTTTTTTTAGGGATGCATTCAATAAATCTCACATCTGCCATAGCAGCAGGTAAGCAGACCAATGAAACCATCTCAAGACAACATAAATTGCTCGATGAAGTCCAACATGCTCTTGATGTCGCTTATGCCAGTAGCATGGCCATCGAATCACCGTTAACTGTGGTAGCCAATCTCTTGTTGTTGATGGCAATAATCTACCGGAGAAAGCTGCATACTACCGACTGCTGCACCATAGCAAGCCTTGCTGTAGCAAACATCTTTATGGGTCTTACAGACATGCCCATGGATGCCATAGTCCGCATTCCAAATCTGGAACCCCTCGTACGTTCAAATCGTCCCACTTGTTTCTTCTGGTGGTTTTCGGGGACATTCGGTTTGTTTAGCTCTCTCAACAGTCTATGTCTATTAAGCATTGAGCGATGCATAGCTATTATTTGGCCATTGCATTACCATAAGTGGCTGACTCTAAAAAGAGTGCTAGGAGTTATTGTCATTGTATGGGTGTTGGAGGGCATGAGAGCGTCCTTGATCTTCTTTGTTGGAAAGTACTTTGAGTCAGCCCCAACACTGAAAGGAAAGTGCAATTATTACTATGGTTTGCCCAAATGGTTTCAAAATGAACTGGGCAATTATAAAGTCTACGTCACGTTTGCCATTAGTATCGTATGTTGCAGCCTGGCAGCTTTCATTGCCTGCAGACAGGTACGACGGTTAGAAAAAACTGTCGGGAGTACGCCTACGCCCGCAGAACGAAGGGCCATGAAGAGGCGAAAGCGGAATGTCGGAATCGCTGCTTTAGTGAATTACATCGTCTTTCTCATGTGGCTCCCAATTCAAGTAGAAAGTTCTGTTAGTCGTGCTTTAGAACTGACCTACCCCCAGGCCCATGTGATTCACACTGTTGGTATAATCGTGCTGAAGACAAGTTTATTAGTAAGCCCTTTGGTGATTGCTTTATGTCGACCAACTATCCGGCAGGCATTCCTTTTTTTCCTGACCACGCCGCCCTGGAAGTGGTCGGAAGTACGTGATCATGAGATCAAGGACACCACGTTTTTGTCGAAAACTTCCTCCGGGGCTCCTGACGTCATGCCAACTACGGAAACGCCAGACAAAGGAACTGGCGAGGACGTCGAGGTGAGAAACACAGAGTAAATAATCTGACCACACCAAGAACTGTTGCCTGAGAATGAAGTCTTGCGACATTTTTGGAAACGTGTAATGTATATGTAACCATTTAATTTATTATGGAAAGTACACTCATCCGAACATAAGGCTATACTTGAGTTGGTCGGATGAGTCACCCATTTTTATGGCTGGAGTATTTAGAACACCATCTAAAACAAAATCATAGTTACTTCCAAAGTAGAAAGATTTATCCTACATTAATTGATTCGTTCCACAAATCATTCATCGTGTCCTCGTCTCCTCAAAATACCACTGCCAATACTGCCATGATCTGACAAAACGCATTTTTCTCAAAATCAAGGTTTCGAGATAATCGCGATTGAGTGTTTTTTGCTAATTAAACAAACAAATATCAATGTTGTTTTTGTTTGACTATCCCACATAAAAATATATATCATTTACCATGACTGTACCAAATTTGATTGAATTTGAGCTAAAGACAAACAAACAAACAAGAAGAATGCGTTTTATCAGATCTTCCCTGTAGAAATGCGTTTTATTTCAACGCATTAATCCCAGAATGATCTGACAAAACGCATTTTTTTTCTGCGTCCCGTTAACTGTGATCCAGTAAAACGCATTTAAATGCGTTTTATCAGATCATCACTAGAGAAGTCGTGTGTTTTGCTTCCAAATTCACTGCTGGTTAAACGTATTTTCTACGGCTGAAAAAAGGGTATTAAAATTTCTTGTTCAGATTCTGTTCTACAGTGTACATACAAACGCTTTTACTGAAGAAGAAGAAGAAGAAGAAGAAGAAGAAGAAGAAGAAGAAGAAGAAGAAGAAGAAGAAGAAGAAGAAGAAGAAGAAGAAGAAGAAGAAGGAGGAGGAGGAGGAGGAGGAGGAGGAGGAGGAGGAGGAGGAGGAGGAGGAGGAGGAGGAGGAGGAGGAGGAAGAGGAGGAGGAGGAGGAGGAGGAGGAGGAGGAGGAGGGGGAGGGGGAGGAAGAGGAGTTTGGGAGGAGTCTGCTCTGTAGGGTCAGTATTCGGTACCGTGGCTGACCAGATAATATAACTTAATAACACGGCACAACTCTAGGCTACCTCACGAGCATCGTCCTCTTGTTGTTGTTTCGTCTTAGTCTTTTTTTACACTTGAGATGTTGTGCAGTAATTTATTGATACTGCTCACACCGGTAATGGAAACGAAAGATTCGGTCACTTTTATCCAGCTATTAATTCTGTTGAGTGAATATTCCCTTCGGGGATTTAAATGCGTATGGAATTCGTTTCTTGACCACCATATTATTGAGAAAACATGTGGTGACTCCTTCAACATGAATGCACAACAACTGTTCAAAGAACTTATGAAAAGGTAAGTTGCAATCATGTTATTTTCATTGCATTTGAGGGAGCTTTGATTAAGTTGTCGTGGCTCCTGTTTTGCCAGTCTTGAGTCGGGAACATTTTAATGGCCTGGAGTGACTGTAGAGGTAATGCTTGTGAAGAAGGCAAATAAGTGACATGTCTTTTTAGTTTATTTTTGACACTTGCACCACAGTTGACGAGTTCCTAAAATATTCGTCTAGGTGTGAGACTGTTGTTAATATTAAATGGACTATTCAGCCAAATCACAAGGACACCTTCACTATTTATTCGTTTTTAAACTCGTGCCTTTCAGGAAAATCGTCCAATAGCATAAAGACGATCACAGCTCTTTCGAAAGTTATGAACCACCCTTGATAAAACATCGGCGTTTGCAAGAAATCCAAAGATCAGCAGCCTCAGCAGCCTCCGCTATAGAGGTTCCAGCTTTCTCTGGTGCTGAGGTGATCACTGGTCCATCAGATCCCCATGTTCATACCCCTGTAAAGAGTGCACGTCGACGCCTTCATTTTGGCGACGATGATTCTGGTGAAAGTGAGCATCTGTCAGAGAGTTCAGGTGTGTCAAATCCATTCGCTGACTGGAGCGAAAACAGAGAGTTCGCTGATGTTGCCATTTGCAACATAAACACCAGTCCATTGTCCCTTGACTCAGCATGAACCAACTTCAACGCCGATGGTGGGAGAGCGCAGGTCTTTGTCTGATCTCCTGTCTGAATTTGACAATGTTCCATCTCCTTTGTCACCGATGCCGCCTTCGCAACAATCATTTGAAGAAAAAAAAGTTATTCTCGAGAATACAACCTTTCATTTCTCAAATTGTCTCTTACCCAAAATGCAGGCGACCCACCATTCTGTGTCTCTGAGGAAAGTCAGCCTGTTGCATCACCAGTGCAACCCATATCAACAAGCCCAACAGACTTTCTGCCATTGTCGCCATCTCAGTACATAATCCCTTTATCACCAGGTCAACTTGACGAAACCTCATCTACTTCAGATTAGCTGTATCAGACTCAACCCCCTCGTCCTCAGATCAGCTGTACCAAACCGCCTTGTCTCCATCGCCCACGATAGCACCCGTTGCATCTGAAAGACGAGAAGTACCACTGTTTACTCTTAAGGAAAAGCACACCATTTTCCTCCATGCAACTGTAGAATGAACTGCATCGTGAAAATCCCTCCACCAAGACGTCAAGTAATTCATGAAGAGTTTTGGAGTCAACCCTAAAATGATCGCCGAAATTGGATTTTTCAACACCGCTAGAAGACTAAAAGTGACTTTTCCAAATTCTCGTTTACGCTCTCAAAAGACTGCGGTAAACAGGTCGTCGTCTGCTCTGTGTTTTTTTCTGCACACCCTCGGATACATCCAATTCCGTATTCAACAGTTTAAAAATCTCAGGTGCTTCTGCAAGTGACTTGTTTGCCCCTAGAGACAAAAGGGTGCACAAACACCTTCCCACGCCTTGACGGGAAGACATTATTGCGCAATAGACTCACACATTGAAGAGTTCCACCCTTCAGTGAGCCACTACAAGCGAGAACATGCACCTGATAGGTGGTATTAGTCATCGGACATAACCATTCGAGAAATGCACTCCTATTTCACAGAGACGTATCGCTCTCTAAAGGTAGGGTACCAATCCTACGGTAGGCGAGTGCAGCTAAAGAATATTAGATTCGCCGATCTTGGAAACGAGATGTGTGAGATATGTCTGACTTTCTCACACCATGAGCTCCAGCCGCCCGCACTGGACACAGACTTGAGACGTGTCAACTGTACACATCCCACAAGAGACGGGTTGCATGAAACCGTAAATACTAAGGCAAAAATAGAGAGAAAGGCCCTGAAGTAGGGTCCGAGATCATTGTATCGGCGGACATGCAAAAGGTCGTTTTGTTGCCTTTCATGCGGGCGTCAAAAGCTGCGTCTTCCGAAACTGCCTTGTAGCTTTCCATGAGACGTTCGCACCCTTAGGACAGCAGGCGAAAAAGAAAAGCCCAAAGCAAGTCAGATCTGGCCTCTGGCATGAGGCAACGTCCGGAAGGTCTGCCTCCGGCGTTACTTCAGCTTTTGTTAAAGCAATTTGTGACTTGGCTGAGGATGCAAAGGACATCATTATATGGGGTGATAATTGTTCAGGCCAAATAAAAATTGGTATTTGTTCACGTCCCTGGCAAGGCTGTTGAATGACAGCAGCAAACCTTTTCTCCACAGGGTCACTTTGAAGTACCTTGTAACGGGTCATACATTCATGTCCTGTCACTCGTTTCATGGTAAGGTTGAGAAGAAGAAGAATATGAGAAGGAAGGGAAGTATTTTCGGTTTTACCGATTTTGTGGCGACAGTGCAGATCGCTGGTGGGGGCCCGACAGTATTACAAATTAACTATTCAGACTTTGTAAATTGGGACAAAAAGGTCACCTCAGAGAAGCATGTAAACATTCCACGTGTCAAACAGATGCCAGCAGTGAGGTTTTTTTTATCTGCGTATCGACCATACGTCAACTGTGATCTGATGAAACGCATTTTTTGTTCTTCCCGGGAAGAAAAAAATGCGTTTTATCAGATCACAGGTGATGTGAACGGTCGATATGCACGAAAAAAAATACGTTTTGTCAGATCATCTCTGAAAAAAATGCGTTTTATCAGATCACATTGGAAATAAATGCGTTTTAACAAATCTAAAAAGCTAATTCATTTAAAAACTAGTCGCAGTTAGGCTTGCATAATTATATCTCAAGTTAGCTCTCGACATGTAGAATTCATTAGTGGAATAAAAAAATTTCCCGCCAAAATGAAAAAATGCTTTTTTGTCAGATCACGGCAGAATAGCGCATCCACGTTACTTTATCCGAGACGTATGGTACGTTGTCATGAACGTGAACAACTGAATGATTACAAATACTACGGCCTGTCACATATTCTACCTGTTAAAAACGTGTGCCGCTTCGTTTTCACATTGATTCCCAAACTTTATTTCTAAATCAAGAAAGTTTCCTATTTAGCTCATTAGGACGAGATCTCTGTATATTAAGATAATTAAAAATCAAGTTTGGTAAGGTCTGAAATGATGTTCCAAAATTATTGGTCAAAGCAAACATTGGCAAATGCCAAAGCGAATATCTAAAAATAGAAAAGGGCATACTACTACTACTACTACTACTACTACTACTACTACTACTACTACTACTACTACTACTACTACTACTACTACTACTACTACTACTACTACTACTACTACTACTACTACTACTACTACTACTACTACTACTATTGCTTGCTTCTGCTGCTGCTGCTGCCACTGCTGCTGCTGCCGCTGCTGCCGCTGCCGCTGCTGCTGTTGCTATTACAATTACTACCACTGCTGCAGTTATCATTATTATGATGTTACTTTCATCAATAAAACGTATATCATTACAGTAAACCTGAGCGACTGGGATACTTTTTTTTGAGCTTCTTGCATTTATATCTTCTTAATATTTTGTTGGTTAAAGTTGGAATTTTTTTGTTCAATTTAAGGGATGGCAGAAAAGGTCTGGGTTGATAGGCTACCTTTTGGGGGAAAATGTTTTAATAATAATAATAATAACAACAATAATAATGTTGTAACCTTCTCCAGGTGTCTGCAAAGATGTTGCTCCTCACCCAGCAGAGGACTTCCCACGTTGTGCCCTTTTGGTTAGCACTGTCAATTGTACAAGGTGAAGTAAAAGTAAGAAGATATATATATATATATATATATATATATATATTTTTTTATATATATATATATATATAAATATATATATATATATATATATATATATATATATATATATATATATATATATATATATATATATATATATATATATATATATATATATTATTGTCACAAAGGTCTTGAACATCTAGCTCTCACTGGCAAAATTAGCGAGGCAGGGTTAGGCCCAGAACAACATACTTAGGGAACCTAAACAAATGGGTAACAGGGAAAGATCGGGGAAACGTAGCTTTTTTGAGAGCACCCGAGCAAAGGAATGAATGGAAAACCACAATCGCCGATGTCTGTCGCAGATCTGGCACTGGATGATGATGATGATGATGATGATGATGATGATATATATATATATATATTTATATATGTACATATATATATATATATATATATATATATATATATATATATATATATATATATAAATATATGTATATATATATATACTTATATATATATATAATATACATATGTTCATAAAGAGTGGTTATAAAAGAATACGTCAAAATCATCACGCGATATTTCAAAAACGAATAACAATAGAAATATCTAGCTCGGACAATTGTGTTGTTTATACCTTCAAGTTTCTGTTTCATGTTTTACAAGTGCCCAATGTGGCCACCACAGGCAGCACGGACTGTATCAAGCCGAATATGAGAATTCCTCCCAAACGCGCCTCAGAATGTCTCAGGCCGCAGTGCTGATTGTAGCTGTTGTTCCATCTTTCATACCCTCT